CGCCCGGAGCCGCAGGAAGGACGCGGTGTTGGAGACGCAGCCCAGGCAGTACTCGATGGTGTGGATCGCCTGGTGCATGAAGATCTCGGCGAAGTCCAAGTGCTGCAGGGATGGAGGGGACATGGGATGCCGGCAGGGGGCACGGCCACCCCCACCCCACCGTCCGAGCCCACCGGGCCAGTGCCCCTCACCTCGGAGTCGGGGCCATGCCCCCCGCTCTCCACGTCCTCCTTGGTGGCGTTGACGGAGTTGCCGGCCTCCTGCCGCTCCGAGTGGGTCTCGTCCATCTGCGGGGGACAGGACAGCACCGGCGGGGGGGGCCCCCCCCCCTTCTTAAATTCCCCTAATTAACCCAAGCCTTACCACTGCAGCCCTTACCGCAGGGCGGCCCGTCCTCAGCGCGCGCCGCCGGCAGCACAGGTAGAGCGGTGTCCCCAGGAGCAGGATGGGCACTGACGCCAGCGCCAGCACCACCAGCACGGTCTGCACCGGCACCTGCGGCACAGGGACACCGTTTCAGGGTCCCCTCCAGCACCGGGTACCCGAGCTGAGAACGGCCCCATTCATGAAGCAGAGGGGACCCCATCCCCACTGCGCCGGCCCCCGCGGGGCTCCCCGCTGCTCCCAGCCTGGGCAAAGAGAAGGGTCCCCGGGTGGGTGCCCCCCATCTCGGCAGGGTGCTACCTGCCCCCGGTAGAGCGGGAGGTTGTCGGCGTTGGAGGTGAAGAGGAACATGTCGATGAAGTGGATGAGGATGCTGGGGGCCACCATGGAGTCGGCGGCACTGAACTTGACCCACTTGTAGAAGATGAGGAAGACGAGGTAGCCGAAGAGCGCCAGGAGGAAAACCATCTCGGGCAGGAGCTCCAGCACCAGCCGGTGCCGCTGCTGGAAGTGCCTGGGCCGGGGGACATCAGCCACGCTCAGCCTGGCATGGCGCACCCTCGCGTGTCCTGGACTCCCACCCAGATGTAGGGATACAGGACCCCACTCGCCCACCCCACCCGGGTGAGTCCGGCCCCAGTCCCCTTAGCATGACCATGGGTGGGCAGAGCCCACGGGCTCAGCCACGGGGACTCACACGTGGTTGAAGACCCCCAGCAGGACGCCGAAGCCCATGTGCACGACGCCCAGCACCACGGACATCTTCATCTTGAAGGAGTTGAGGAAGTTGAGGTGGTTGGTGGCCAAGCTCCAGATCTGTCGTGGACAAGGTGGGTGAGACTCTGGGCCACCCCACCGAGGGTCCCACCACATCCTCTCCCCCACGGAACACTCACTGGGTCGATCCCGAAAGGATATGGCCCTTGGAAGACGCCGGTGACGTTGGGGTCCAGGGTGAGGGACGGGTGGGTGGCAAGGTAGGCAGAGCTGTGGGCAGAGCGATGGGGGTGTCAGTGCAGGCAGGGACCTGGGGGGGGTTCACAGGAGGGTTGGGAGTCCCACCTCCAGGAGGAGTGGTTGGCCATGGTGGCCACGCTCCAGGCGGAGGGGAAGATGACGGTGGCTTTGCTGAAGCACTCGTTGTAGATGAAGCCGGTGTAGATGGAGAAGGCCCCCATGAGCAGGATGAGGTAGCGCCCCTCAAAGAACGTCAGCCAGATCTGGTGGGGGCAAACATGGCTCCCACGTCCCACGCCACCTCTCCTGCCCCACACCGTCCCCCTCCCACACCACCAACCCTGCCCCGTACTGTCCCCCTCCCACACCACCAGCCCCATCCCGTACCAGCAACCCCATCCCACGCCTCCAAGCCCATCCCACGCCCCCAACCATGTCCCACACCTCCAAGCCCGTCCCACACCTCCAGCCTGGCCCCCCGCCACGTCCCCCTCACCTCGTTGCTGGCCTGCCGCAGGCTGGGGCTGTTCTCGTACAGCACCATCCAGAGAGCGAAGAGGAACATGAGCAGCCCGTGCCCCACATCCCCAAACATGATGGCGAAGATGAAGGGGAAGGTGATGATGGCGTAGGGCGCTGCAGGGGCACAGGGACCACGTCACATGGCTCCCCCCCCCTTCCCAACCCCGGGCTGTGGCAGGGGGCCGGGGGTCCTTACCAGGGTTCACCTCCTGGTAGCTGGCCACCCCACCATAGGCCATAGGCGTCCACGATGCTCCGGCGGTGGAGTTGGTGCGGATGAGGGTGGGGGGGCTCTCTGAGGTGGGGATGCGCTGCACGAAGCACTCCACGCTCGAGCCGCTCTTGTACTGCGGGGAAAGCACCCGGCGCCTGACCCACGGCACCCCCCTGCCCGGCACCCGCCCCACCGTGGCAGAAGGACACGGGGACACCGAGCGACCTCTGGCATGAGGACGTGGGGGCACCGAGCAACCCCTGGCATGAGGACATGGGGGCACCGAGCGACCCACCGATCCCTGGCGCAGAGCGTCCTGCACTTGGGTGAGGTCCCGCACGGGGCACCAGACCTCGGCGATGAGGCACTTCTCGGTGACATCGAAGCTGCACTGGTTGAGGACGAGGTAGATGGCCTTCATCTTCTGCACCTGCACCCGCCAGGTGGGCAGCACCAGCACCACCTTGTCCAGCACCTGCGCCAGGTACTGCTCCGTCTCCTCCAGCACCTGCAGGCGCCCAGCGGGGGTCAGGGACTGGGGGGTCCGTCCCGGCGTGGCCCCCCAGTCCCCCCTGTGGTGCCCAGCTCACCACGCTGAGGTCCTGGATCTGGCTGAGCAGCCCGCTCATGGCGCCCGCCCGGCTGGCCACGCTCTCCGGGTAGGGGTACACGTGGCAGTGGAAGCTGGGACAGACGGACGCCACCGCGTCGGGGGGTGCCAGGGCTCCCCGGGGCAGCCCAGCCCGTCCCTGTGGGGGGATCCAGAGCGGGTCTTGCTAAATAAACCTCTGCCTGGCCAGACGCGTGGCTCGGGGCCGCGGGCTCACCAGTCCGAGATCTTGCGGATCTTCTGCCCGATCTGCTCGCCCCAGTAGGAGATGAGGAAGATGACCCAGGTGATGCTCTCACCCTGGGGACAGCATAGCCCATGTCAGCCCCAGCTGTCCCGGCCCCCCTTCCCTGCCAGCCCCCACCCTGGTGCCCCGCTCACCGTGGCCGGGTCCTCCATGGGCTCGGGCATCTCCACGAAGCTAGCCACCAGGTAGCCACGGCAGGCGCGCCACAGCAGCCGCTCAAAGGCGCTCACCCGCCACGGGTGAATGACACCGGCCACGAAGCTGCGGGGACACGGCGGGAGCGCTGGGACGGGCACGGCTCTGCTGCTGTCCCTGCCCCATGGCCAGGCCCCTGCCCCATGGCCCATCTCCAACCCTTACCCTATACCCTTACCCGCTATTCCTGCCCCATGGCCATGCCACTGCCCTGTGGCTCATCTCCAACCTTTATCCTACAGCCTTCCCAGATGCCCCACGGCCACGCCACTACCCCATGGCACACCTCCAACCCTTAGCCTACAGCCATGCCCATTGCCCCGTGGACACGCCACTGCCCCATGGCTCGTCTTCAACCCTTATCCCCCAGCTTTGCCAGGCCCCTGCCCCATGGCCAGGCCCCTGCCCCATGGCCCATCTCCAACCCTTACCCTATACCCTTACCCGCTATTCCTGCCCCATGGCCCAGCCACTGCCCCGTGGCCCATCTCCAACCCTTACCCTACGGCCATGCCCACTGCCCCATGGCCACGCCGCTGCCCGCGGCCCCTCTCCAACCCCCGCCCCGCACGCCAGCCCCTCTTACTTGATCTTGCGGTCGAGGTGCTGGTGCAGGGAGGGGTCGAGGATGGGCTCACGCTCGGAGAGCGCCCGGGGCCGTGGCGGGGAGCCCAGGGGGGCCTGCGGTGATGGGGAGCAAAGAGATGAGGCTGCGGGGGGAAGCGGGGCGCGGGGCGGCACCC